AATAAATCTAATCGAGAAAAAGTTGACCGACAGCATGGGAGACACTTTAATATAAAGGATATCTAGTTTAGGTTCATGGAGTGAAACAAAGCTCCACTGTTGTCGTACCAAGTAAATAATTTCAGTATTTGAATGATAGTGTTTTGGGTAAAAGTTTGCTAGCACACACTAAACATCAAAACACTCTTTTTCCCACTCACTGTCTTTCTCTCCTCAAAATCCATTACATCAAACCTTTAAACAGGGGCAGAATCGAATTATGTCCAAGGTGAGCAATTGCCAATCCTAAAATTTGAGATTTTTTTATTTAAGTAACAAAATTTAGTACTTTTTCTTATATAGTTTAGGCATCAACTGGGCAGGCATTAAAGCTTAACATGAACTACGCTAGTCATGATAGCTTAAAGAAAAAGAGTCAACATCTACTTAAAAGATGCAACTCACCAGTCTGCAGTCATTCCATCCTCACTCGTAATTGCTCTTAGAACAACAGCATTGGCATGCGTTCTTTGGTCACCTTGTACCCCAACTGTCCGCACAGGTAAAAAGACTGCAAAAGCTTGCCATATTATATCATAAAGGCCAGCATCTTTAATTGCTTGAATGAATATCTCATCCACCTAATACAACATTCAATGCAAATATAAAGTACAAGATAACAACTAAACAAACTTAAAAATATGAATAAGGCGTGCAAACCTCACGCAAAATGTTCAAGGCATTTCCTTCTGTAACATCACCCAATATCCGAACAGCAAGTCCAGGTCCTGGGAAAGGATGTCTCTTTAAGAAAGAATCAGGAATATTCAAGAATTTTCCTAATCGTCGAACCTTGAAGGAAAAAAAAAAAAAAAAAAAAAAAACACAAAGGTCACAAACATATGCTTCGCTAATTTAAAGAGAAATGATGGATTTATTCAAATTCTACAAATAGTAAATAGAAGCATAAGCATTCAGGCGGAGAAAATTTTTGGGATTGCACGAAAAAACCTCATCTTTGAAAAGGAGCTTAAGAGGTTCAATCAGCTTCAAATTCATTCTCTCTGGAAGTCCCCCAACGTTATGATGGCTCTTAATTGTGTGGGAGTGATTCCTTCCACTTCCAGGGGGTGGGCATGACTCAATCACATCCGGATAAAGAGTTCCTTGAACCAAGAAAGAAGGACTTCTTCCCACTTCCTTTCCAACCTTTGGAGCAAAATCTTCAAAAACACGTATGAACTCTTCTCCAATGATTTTTCTTTTCCTTTCTGGATCTTTTACACCTTTAAGTCTACCGAGAAAATTTTCCGATGCATCGATGCAAGTAACTGGCAAATGCAGCTCATTTTGAAAACTGGACATAACCCGCTCTCTCTCCTTATACCTAAATAAATATCAATTATAATCAGCATTCAAATAATTCAAGTCGGAATACATACAAAGATTTGGTTTTATTTCCATAAAAATTGAGACATGCCTTAATAGACCATTGTCAACAAAAAGACAATGAAGTCTGTCACCAATGGCTTTGTGAACAAGCACGGCAGCAACAGTTGAATCTACTCCGCCTGATAAACCACAGATTACATGTTCATCAGGTCCTACCATACTTCTCACATGTTTGACTTGTTCTTCGAGGACATCCTCCATATTCCAGTCAGTAGGTACACCACAGACATCGATTAAAAAATGCCGCAAAAATTCCATTCCCTTGGGGGAATGGGTGACCTAAATAAAGATGCAAAAGAGCATACATAAATAAAAAAGGAAAGAAAATAAAGCTAGCAGCTAGTAAACCTTAATGTCAAACATAGAAAAAGAATATTGAAATTACACAATTCCAGGCAATGTCACAGCTCTAAACTACATTCATTAATGAAATTCAAAAGCATCCAGCTACACATGTATCTTTTAGACAATACTGACAGTGGTGCTCATTAAAATTTCATAATTTTAAATAACAGAACATAAAAATTAAATGCTATCAATGACCAAACGGATCGGTTTAAAAAATAAACTAACATCTTCCTTGCAGTCAATAAGAACGTTTCTCACATGCAGTAAACGAAAAAAAAAAAAAGAGAAGCCACTCAAAGTTTCAAAGTGATTCACCGCAACATTTTAGAAGTTCATTACATATAAAATTACACAATAGCCTTAGGCATAAACATACTTTCTAGAGTCAGAGCACTGTCTAATTAAGTGATGTAAAGACAGCTTTTCTTTAGAAGTAGATCATTAATGTTGTACAAGATATCAAAGAAAGCTTCAAAATGGACTGTTGATAGAAAATTGATGCATTTTATTTATCCCCAAAAAAAAAAAAAGTCCACTATTCTACCAACATATAAGGACCAAATAAAACAAGGGAGGAATTGATATAAGGTTCTTTATATCTAACTTCAGGTGATATTAAGTGCAACTTTCTTCTCCCTTGCTCGCCTTTCTGCATTCAAAAGAATTATAGTACTTTCTACCTGCACCGAAATTAGGATTAAAAAATCCACCTTTACATATATCCCTATGCACACGCATAATAAATACAATGTTCATGATTACGTCATCGCATGTTCAGCATGAACAGCATCTCAAATGAAGTTAGTAAAAACTTTTCTTTGTAAGAAGTTATTAGTAAACAGTTTATTAAAAACACGACAATTGCTTAATATATTATGTAAATACCCCCAAAATACTAACAGAAGAAAAAAAATAGCACCCTAAATCGTAGAGAATAGCAAAGACAGATTATTCCAAGGGTTTCTAAAGAATGACCTCAGGATGGAACTGTAGCCCATAGAACTTCTTCGACGGATTCTCAATTGCAGCCACGGATCCCTGCAGACTTCGGGCTACAATTTTGAAGCCTTCTGGCAACCTCAGCGCCTCATCCCCATGGCTCATCCACACTATCTGATTCTCACCGGCAACATCTGGACCAAAAAATTCGCTTTCCTCCTTGACCACAGTAATCACCATCTTGCCATACTCGTGCTTCTCTCCATTGGCAACCTTTCCTCCGAGCTTCTGAACGAGAAGCTGCATCCCATAACATATCCCAAGCACGGGTACACCGTTTTCCTCGGCGTATTGCAGAAAACCGTCGGGGAACGATGGAGCGTCATCGCAGTGGACGGAATTGGGCCCGCCGGAAAGAATAACGACGCAGGGATTCAAAGCAGCAATCGCGTGGATAGGAGAGGTGCCTGTGATGCAGACCGTAAAGATGGAAAGTTGGCGAATCCGGCGGGTTATGAGGTGTGTGTATTGAGAACCGAAGTCCAGGATAAGGACCGGCTTTGCGCCGCCGAATGAAGACATGTCTGATAAAATTGAGCTTGCCATTGCTGGATGAAGGAGAGTTAGGGTTAGGGTTTACAGCTTCCTTGCGGAGGTGGAGATAAACCCTTCACGGTGATGACCCGGAGCGGACCCCAATATCGGACTTAGATCTTACTACAGATTCGAGCTAGAGTATCAATTTTTAGAGATTCGACAAAATCATTCGAATCTCTTGTTTTGTTTAATTCCAGATTTAAAAAAAAAAAAATCATCCAAAAGGAAGCAGAAAAATCCTGCCCGATCAATCGGCCCATCAGAGCAGGTTTCAAACCATGGTAACGACATTTACATACATACCACCCAATCATGTATTTATATTCATAACCTCTAAATTTTCTTTTTTTTATTTATTTATATCATCTAAATTCTTTATTTTAATTTTTAAAATGCTCTGATAAAAAGTAATTCAAGCATAGCTAATGCATGTTGGAAATCAACTCGTGTTCAACTTAGGCTCGTAATGAGTCTGCTCATGTTCGGCTTGAAATTATTTGATCTGTTCGTAGTAACGCAAATTTAATCATTTGTTTGCTCAATTTTAGCTTGAATTAAATGTAACTAAGCTCTCAAACTAAAATTTTCACACAAATTATGTGAGCTTGTTCTTAAACTACTCTAAGGTTGTCAGAATTTTTTTTAATTTCCTTTTGGGACTCTCTTCCTTTTATTTTATTTTATTTTGTTTGGGTATTTACTTGCAGACCATCCAATTCCTATGCAAAATATAAACATGGGCCAGTGTACTCGTTGTTCGCGAATAGTTTGTGTTCGGTTCATCAATGAGTTCGTGTACAGTTCGTTCGATGAGTAAACAAGACGAACGTGAACAAATTTTTTTCGTTCGGTTGGTAAACGAACCAAACACAAACAGTGATCCATTCGTTCGTGTTCGAATCGTTATAATTCGAAATATAAAATAATATAAAATAATTATAATATATAATTTATGATATTTTGAAAAATTAAATTTTATAAATTATAATATATAATAAATTAAAAATAATAATATATTAATAATATACTGACATAGATATTATATATTTATAAAACATAAGTTATATAGTTAATATAATATATTATTTATATATATTAATATTAGGGATGTCAAAATGGCTCGTCGTTCGAGAACAGCTCTTGTTCAGCTCGTTCGTTAAGAAACGAACACAAACAACGACTTCACAAACAATTTCAAACACGAGCTTATTTCAAACAAACTAAATTTCAAACGAACCGAACACGAACGAACAAGCTTTGTTCGTTCGTGTTCGGTTCGTTTACACCCCTAGTGTTGGCTACCTTTTTTATCATTTTTTTTTGTTGCATTTCGATAATACCAACTAATCAATACATACTTCCATATCTAACACCAAAATTTTACTTTTTTTACATTTGTACCACCTAAATCTCTCTCTCTCTCTCTCTCTCTCTCACATCTCTCTCTCTCTCACACACACACACACACATAGATATATATATATATATTAGTTTTATGATCTTAATTAGTGGTCATTATTTTTGTGAGAAGCAATATATTTGTAGTTATTGTGATAGAAAGGAGAAGATTAATATAGAAAAAAAACCTAATGATGATGGCGGTGTGGATTCTTGATCTCTTGATTTCATTATCTAATATCTTTTATTTTATTAAGATTGAGAGGAATATGTAAACAAAGAGATATAAGTTTTGTGAGGCATGATGTAATAGCACTAATTGATTGCACAAGTACTTAATTAGTCATGAGCACTGAGCATCAAATAACCTTTGATAAGAGCTCTGCATTAAGATATGAGAGTTAGATGGCTTTGATGGCATGAACTTCAAAAATAGAATAAGCGTATTCAATTAGCAAGCCAGTCGTTGGGTGCTTTTTTGAGGATGTTGAGGGAGTGATAAAATTCACAAGTGGTTTGGTCATCAACAAATTTTGTGGTTGAGGTTTAAACTTCTCTCAGAGAGATACACAAGAGAAATGGAATTCAACATCCAAGTCGTGAACTGTATATTATTAAAAGATGTTGAGCAAATGACAACACATGTAGTTGTGGATTTGATGTTTAAGTTTAAGATTTAGCCATAATTAATCATGGGATGTTATTGAAAATCATTTAAAGTGAGATGAGCTTTACAATGAGCTAAACAACTTCTTAAGATGTGCTTATTGTGAATACATTTTACACTTTTTCATGTCATGATGAGGTTGAAATAGAAAAAGATTTTATATGTTGTTCAACAAAAGGAATTCATTTTGTTACACTTGGTATCTTTCAATTGGGATTTTTATGGTTTATTTTGTTGTGTTAGGATCAAGGGACAGTGGTATAGTTTTTTTAGTGGAAGTATAGAGGGAAGATTTAGGATAAACTTGAGTATGTTGTATTTAAATCATGCGACCATATGATGCATGCTAGTGGAGATTGAGAAATTGATGGAGGAAGTGAACCTTGGTGGTATCGCTTAAGAAGAAAAATTGTTATTTTTAAAATAGATATGTGGTTAGTCTAGAGAGCAACAATTAAGTGTTCACATAAAAAAGGTGCCAAGAAATTAGGAAGTGAGAGATGAGTTAGATATGTGATTATGGGTGTGAAGCTAAAATTAAAAAGGTATTGTGGTTGGAAAAACTTTATGCTAAAGACTGCCTAGTGGTGATTATATATGGTAGGTGTAGGTGTCTAAAAAGGAATATGTGGGAGAGACGTATTGAGTACAAAACTTACATGCAAGGAAAAAAGTTGAATTTGGAGGTCTTAACATAGAGATAGTTAGGCTTCAAGAAATTTAATAAGCAAAGAGTATTGCAAGTAATTAGTGATAATGTTGGCCACCTAGGTGTGATGAGACTTGAAGATACGAGGGCAGTGAAGAATTATTTGATATCGCCCATTTTGATCCTTGTAAACAGGGCTGAAATAATGCTTATATAATTATTATTTACAGATACAAACAAAAAAAAACCAAATCATTATTGTTAGCTAACAAAATAACATTTGCTAATGAATCAACCCCTGTTATAAACCTTTAATAAGGTAATAAGGATCCTCTTGATTTTGGGATCAAGTTTAGTATCATCAATAATTTATGTGTCATTAGATACGATCAAATAAATGTCACATTTTTATAATAAGATGTATCTAAATCAAAATTACAGTAGTAACCTCAGAAATATGGTATGTATGTAAATGAGAAAAATTAGAGCATGCATGGAATTTCATTTCTAAAAAACCATAGAATACGAAGCAGAAGCATCAGAAGGTTAACAACTTGCATAACATAAAATAATTCAATCATTGTCTCATTGAACCTTGAAAGAATGTGGAAAGAAATCAAGAATTAAGAAAGCGACACATTTAAGGAAACAAAAAATGTAGCATAATATCTAAAATATAAAATCATTAAAACTTAGAAGCCAAAAGCTGAAGAATGTAAAAAATCCTAAAAAAGAAAGTACCACTGAAAATAATAAAGAAAGCATAAATGAAAATAGCCCTCTCTAAATGACTAGCCATGAAAAAAGAAAAGACCTATTACCAATGATGCCTAACCTCCAATCTCACAGACCACATAATTGAATAGAAAAATATTAATTAGAAGAAGGCAAACCAAGGAAAGTGAGAAACCCTAGCAGCTACAAGACTTTTCTTCCCTCAGAATGACAACAAAATGAAAATACGTCTCTCGAGATGGAAATGAAAGAAAGAAGATCTTGAAGTCTCGCGGTCGTGGCCTCGTACTCTTGTTTGCCCCTCAGCCTTCGACCTTGTGTGACCTCTAGCCTCTCGACCTCGGAAGAGAATCACCAAAAAGAAAAGAACGATTGAATTTGGAATCGAGAGTTAGGGTTTACACACTTATGCTCATTACTTATATGGTGACTTGTGACTTATAAATTAGGGATAAATTTACTTAGGGTTCTAGATTGATCCAACTCATCCAAGGGTTGAGATAAACTTCAGATAATATAGAATAATTTTTTTAATAATAGTTTAATGAAAATTAAATTTTAAGGTTTTTTTTATTATATATATCATAAATTTTAATATAAAATATTATAATTATATTATTTTCAATTATTTATTTATTTCGAACCAAAACGAACCGAAAACAATTGAACGACTTCTTATTTGTGTTTTGTTCATCTTTTGAACTAAAAAAAAAATGTTCATGTTCGGCTTGCTTGTTTAACAAACGAATCTAACGTGAACTACTTACCGAGTCAAACACGAGTTGTTCACAAACAACAACACTTTTGGATAGCCCTAGGTTCATATATGGAGTGCACCAAGAATTCGCCCCAAGTGATATGATTTAGGTAAGGACTTTTGAGAGCTCATTGACTGTTGGTGAAGAAAGGTTGAATGATTCTACCAATGATGAAGCCAAGAATGGTGTATCATTAAAGAAGAATTTTTACTTGAGCTTGTTGTGATAGGTGATTATTAGAAGTGATCTTAATTGGGAGCTAAGTGGTCGAGTTGATGAAGACAAGCTGCGATAATATTAACTTTGAGAAAGAATATGATGATGATTACACCAACAATGATGATGACATCGAGGATTTGTTTGTTAGAAATTGATGACTCTAATGCCAAGCCCAATGGAAAACACTTGTAAAAATATTAAATTTGGGTTTCACGTGCAATCGTTGAACAATAGTTACCTACATGATTACAGTCATTGTCATGATTGGCAAGTAGTAAAAAAAAGAAAGCAATTAAAAATGTCAATAATGAATGATATACTAAATGTAACTATATGGAATTGTATACAAGATAGTACTTGCTGACAACATTTATTGAGAATTACTATTAAGAGAGGAAGTTTTTTTAAAAGGAGAATAATAATTTAATCAATACAAAGACCAGTCTCTTACCTCTATACAACATCTCAACTCTAATTTATGTAAAATCAAAAGTCATATTTAAATTTAGATATAAATTTTAATACTTTGTTATGAAATATTGCTTTGCCTCATAATCAATATAAAAAATCTTCTTCTACAAACTAAAAATTGAATCGGAACAATATGGACTAAACTAGTTTCTCATTAAAAAAAGCTTTTCTTTTTAACACATAATATGTGCTAAATCTCCCCACATCCGAGTAGTATTCCAACGAATCCATCTTCAGACATTCAGGGCAAATTTTCTTCAGAGACGTCATCGTTGTGAGATTGACAGAAAGTT